TGTACCCACCCACGAGCAGGTACGGCGCCGGCCAGTGCCGTCGGCTGGCCACACAGAGCCACACCGGGCCCTTCGAGAGCCGCCCCCTTACGGCCATGGACAGTGCGACTAAGAACAGCCCTGCCTGGCCCCGGGACAGGGCGCTCATGTCTAACCGGCCCCGCCCTTGTCTCCAGCGGAGCATCCGCATTTGCTTTCTCCAAGATGATCAGAGGGGTCCCCTCTGCCTTCTGAATGCCCCTGTGGACATTGGCCTTGAGACACTGAGAGTAGCAAAGATGGGCGGAGAACGCCAGGACAGGCCCGTGCCGTTCACTCTTGCCGAGCGAGGTGGCAGTACATGTTACGTTGACGTGAGCTGAGCAGCTATTTTTAAAGGAGAGAGTTTTTAAAGTTCTTTTTAACACCAGCTCTGAGAGTGCCAAAGCACTAGGGGTCGAGTGGGGCTGAGTCACGCCAAAATCGTTCAGAGGAAGCCCAGGCGCCTCCCGTCCTCGTGTGACTAGCTCACAGTTTAGCCTCCCTGAGAGGTGAAGCGATAGACCCCCAAAGGCAAGGGTCTAACTTGCAAACGCACGTCCCATGCGGTGCCGGGCTAGCGTTTGCCAGGTCTGAAAGGTGGGCAGTTCCCCCGAGGTACCCTGGGGTGTGTCTGAACCCGCTCTCAGCAGACCCAGCTGTTGTGCCCTCAGCTGGCAGACGGGTCTGCCCACGCACGGCCGGCGTCCGAGCATGAGCTCTGTGGACCCGGCACGTGGCTCACGCGTGGACAGGGCCTGTGCCCTCAGAGTAGCTGCAGTGTAGGTGCCGATGAGCTGGGGCCGTCCCCTCAGCTGGCAGACGGATGGTTGGTGTTCGAGGCCCCTTCTCTCCTTAGATTCCCAGCAGCAGTCCCTCCCTCTCCTTGCTGGGCGTGGGCAGACACGGCGTGGGACTTGGCAAACACAGCGGAGCAGGGCTGTCTGGGGTCCTGGCCCCTGGGCGCTGCTGTCCGATGTCTGCCTGGGCAGTGCCTGCACCTAGGCGCTTTGGGGCTCAGGGCTCGGGAGGTGCAGATCAGGACCGTCACCTGCAGTCCTTTGCTCCTGTGCACGTGAGCACCAAGTCCCCCAGGGAGGGTCAGCCTGTCTCGCTGCCAAAAGCCCTTGTGGCGTTCATGACTCGAGGTTCAGAAGAGCCTCATCGCCTTTGGCGTCTTGAGTGAGGGCAGGAGACACTGCCGAGGAGCCACCACGCAGTGAGACCCACGGGGACACACCCTGGGACACGCAGCCACTGCCCAGGTTGCTCGCTGAGGGCACAGGCCAGTCGCGTGCAGCCGTGGGGGTGGCGGGGATGGCAGGGAAGCACCAGCCCTACGTGTGTAAGGGAGCATGCCTCCCACCAGCACGCATGTGCCGTTCTGAGCGACTGAGACCTAGAGAGACGCAGCACACACCTGTCGGGTTCCACGGAGCGCGGGGCGGTGAGGGTCACAGTCCCTGAAACCGTTCCTCCCTCCCCACGGGCAGAGCCAGCAGCCAGTGCCGTGGGGACGCTGGCCCCTCCTCCCGAGAGCCCCGCCGAGGGCGAGCAGCAGTGCTCTGAGGGCTGGTCCAGCTGAGTGGAGGGGGAGCAGGGGATGGCCGTCTTTCCTGGAAAACGTGCTGCTTCCCCTCCCGAGTCCGGCAGCAAGCTCGCTGAGCGAGAGCTGGCTTGCGCGCAGTGCACAGGGTTCTGGGGGGGGCTTCCATGCCCGGGCTGCAGGAGAAGCATCGTGGCTTCCCTCCTCTCACAGCCCAGCGGTGGCAGCTTGGTGGCCTCGGGGTCCGCAGCCCCAGTGCGGGCCGGCGGAGGGTGTGGGAAAACGCAGCTCCCGACGGGCGCCTTCCTGGCCAGGAGGAAGGCCTGCTGGCAGAGCACGCAGGGTGAGGGCCTTCGCTCTGCCTCCAGCTAAGTTTGCAAACCCAGTGTGGACTGACCACTGTCACATGTCACGTGTGAAATTACCGGGCACCATTGTATGCTGGAATGACTCGAGAGCCCAGTCTCTGTGTTTAACGTGTACGCATCCACATCTCACCAATAAACGCAGACTCCCATTTCTCACAGCGGTCGCCTCTTCAATCCCCGTCTCACACCGGCGTCAGCCACAGACTAAGGGTCTCTGAGACCCCCTCTGGGGAAGGGCTGGGCCGAGGGCGGCATGTCCAGAAGGGCGTTTTCCAGGAAAACGCCTTTGCGGTGTGGCAGGTCATCTCTTGAGTGCTGAAGTCAGAGCCGGGCGAAGGCGGCGTGTCACCAGCCAGCTGGGCTAGCTGCACCCATGGGGCTTAGACAGACAGGCTTGTCTTGCTCACGTGACGCTGGGCCGCTGCCTGCTGTCCTTGCCCAGGGGGGATGAGGGAGGCTCCTGCAGTCCCCAGAGCAGGACACGAGGGCCATGTAGGCTGACACAGCCCTGGACGTGGTGCAGCACGTGCTCAGGCTCAGAGCCTTAGGGACCGGGCCTGGCTCGGCGTCCAGGGACTTCCTGGAAGAGCTGGCCGTCGTCCTAGTGGCTCTCGGGCTGCGGCAGCCCAGATGGCGTTCGGAATGGAGAGACCATCCATGCCACTTCCCAGCACAGAACCAGCCAGTCCACGCAGCGTGGGACGGCCACTGCAATGCAGTCAGCGGTAAGTGCTGAGGGCCAGGCCGCAAGACAAATGCAGGTCACCCGCCGGGACCCATGCCCCGTGTAGGAGACTCTCCTTCCATGGACATGCACACATGTGTAGAGGAAGGGACACGGACCTGCACTCCGACACCTGCCCTGGGCAGCATGGGCTCTGAGGAGAGGAGGCAGTGTCTGAGTCTCAGTGACACACAGATGTGGCCTGACAGTCTCCCACCAGTGCCAGCTGTCATGAAATGTTGTTAAAGTGGACACGCCGAGCTGGTTAAGGGAGCCAGATCCCATGGGGTGGCCTGCAGGTCAAGTCCTGGGCCAGTGGTTTGAAAAGCACACCAAGCACATGTGTGTGCATGCCAAATTCCAACAGGACAGAGAGAGAGACAGGACCGAAGCACGGCCATGCCAGTGGGGTGCTCACCCCCGGTCTCTCTGTCTCTGTC